TGATCCTGTGTGTGCGAACAGAGAGTTGTACAGGCGCTGTGCCGCCATAGTCATTCGAAGTGAACTTGTATCTGAGTTGTGTTCTTGGTTACTATTATCTCTGAGTTTGAGTGGGCGATTGTCGCCAGTTTGCTGCGCACCTGTTTGCATGCATGTGAAGTGTGAATGAGAGCGAGTCTGATTGCATTGGTATCAGAGCTGGTACCCGCTATTCCAGGCGCGCCGTCGTGTGCCGCAGGGAGAGCTACACGCCATAGCCGAAGTAGTCATCGGAGAAGAAGTCCGCCATAGCGGACCCGGAGGTTGAAGAAACCGCCGCACGCACCTGCAAAGAAGACCACGAAGAAGAGAGAGAGAGAGAGAGAGAGAGAGAGAGAGAGAGAGAGAGAGAGAGAGAGAGAGAGAGAGATGAGCGATACAAGTTTGGTTGTCACGTACCTGTAAAGTGTGTCGTGCAGTCCCACGAAGTGAAAGAGGCGGCCATAGCCGCGGAGCTCGACCACAGAGTAACGAAGGGGGTGAAAGAGAGGACAGAGGGGGAGACCGAGAAGAGTGAAGGAAGCCATAGCCGAGGAGGTGAAGGGAGAGACTAGAAAAAAAAAAAAAAACAAGAGAAACGACAGCCGGGGTGAATAGAAAGGAGGCAAGGGAGGAGAAAGGAAGGAGAAGGGAGGTTAGGAAGGAGAAGCCAGCAGCGATAGCCGACCGGGAGAGTTGACCGGGTGTTGACCGGGCGTTGACCGGGTGTTGATCGGAGTTGACCGGGCGCTGACCGGAGCTGACCGGAGGACTTGACCGGGCGTTGACCAGGAGTTGGCCGGGGGTTGACTGCAGCGTTGACCAGGCCTTGACCAAGACAGTTGACCACGATTTTGACCAAGCTGGAGCCGGTATAATCTCGCCAAGCCTTCAGCCTATCCCCTCGCCCTATGGATGTGCACACACCCTGCGGTACTTGCTGAGTCAAGTCTGTATGTCTCTTCTTTCTGCATTGAGTCTCTTTTGTCCAGGTAATAGGAACTCTGTGGATGAAGGATAGGGCCTTGTTGACCAAACCCACACGGGCTGAGTAGGGCTAAGGACTGTGTCTGACGACTCGGCTGTCCCGGAGGACACGAACCCTCCCAAGGACCGGTACTGATCGGCTAGCTGCTCGGTGTGGCACAGTAGGCCCAAAATCCGAGCTGTGGGTTGCACAACAGGCCGTCTAAGTCTTGAGAGGACCTGCTGATCGCATCGTCCTGTCTACGACGTTAAATAATTCCCGAGGAGTTCCGGGGGATCTCCTTAATTGCCTCCTAATCAGCAACAGGTCCTGTAGTGACAGCCTTAGAGTAGGTCTAGGCTAGAGACCCTAGTTGACATCGTCCTGTCCGGATTTTGTGGTCCTTAGATTGAGTCAGTAGGTCGTGTCAGTCAGAGGGTAGGTCTAAGTGGTGAGGAGTGGGACAATCTCTGTCGTGCACCTAACACCATGGACGATTACCCTATGTACGGCTTGCTCGTGGGGTTCTCCTTGTGGGGGACCTTCTGGCGTCTCCTCTTCCCTCTGGGATTTTGGAACACCTTTACGTGTAGAGTAGACACGAGGGGTGGTGCTAGTACCAAGCCTTACACCCAGGAGCAGGTGGAGGAAACTGCGAGGATCTTGGCCGAACGGAAGGCCAAGAAAGAGAAGAAAGAGTTCCTCAAGCAGGGGAAGTTGAAAGCAATCGCAGAGGAGCAGGCGGCGAAGAAGAAGAAGCTAGAGGAGGAGATGGTGAGGTTGCAGCAGGAAGAGGAAGAGAAAAGAAAGGCTGTTGAAGAAGAGGCGGCAACAGAGGAGGAGGAAGTAGAAGAGGAACCCCTTGAAAGGAGGCGTGGAGGAGACAAAGGAGAGACAAGTGGCACGAAGGGAGAGGACGCATGGATGGAGAAAAAGATTAGCGAGTGGGTGGCAAACCTATCGTTGGGGGAAGACGAAGAGGCACTGTTGTATGTGCCCCAGGAGGAGAGAGAGGCTGGAAGCAATGGAGAACCCCCTGGACCGCCAGACGGCAGAAGATGAAAAGAAGTTGGAGTGGAAGTTGCGTATGATGAGGGAGAAGAAGAGAAGGAGGGAGGAAACCAATCGGGTGGCTAGAGAGGTGGAGAAAGTCCAGGCATGCGGATAGGAGGTGCAGGCAGAGGCAGAAACCCCTGCGAAATTAGATAAGATTTTGGGGTACCTGGAGGTTCTGAGTGAGGCCTGGCTTGAGGAGCATCAGGCCAACGAGGGTCAAGATGTGACCCTTCATGCCATCCGGACCGGGTTCAGAGAGTTTGCACACTGTCGAGCGCATCGGTCCGGCACCACACATGGCAGCGTGGGACCCTTCCCACTAGCCCTCTCTTACACTGCCTCTTCCTCAATTCCGACCTCACCACGCGGTTCGCCCGACAGAAAACCCCGGGACCGCCCCTTCTCCCGCCCGATTCCACCTAGGACCGAGCGTGCTACGATCTCCCTTCTCCTCCTTCGTTCCCTCGCTCTCGTCTTCCTCCTTGTCTCCCTGTTGTCGTCAACCACTAACATCCCGCGGCGCCGTCAGTAGTACCCCGGGCTTCGAGCGATTGATCCGACAGCATTCGAACGCCAAAAGCAAAACGCTCGGCTGTCAGCCTCCTCTGTTTTATACCTTCCGCCCTTGCGCAAGGACCGTGTAGACCTCCTCCACGTCACTCCGAGAACTACCGGATACCCCGAAGGACTCCGGCCTATCGAGCTTCAGGCGATTCCCAGTACTACCCCGCCTGGGAAATGTGGCGCGCGAATCTGGCCCCCCTTTCGACGCCGGATTCGAGTAGGCGCGCCCCCCCCCTTCCCCGATTTATGCCTGTCATCCTTGCGTAGGGCCATGCTAATTCTCTGTATCGTCCCAATTTTAACGGATATCCTGAAGGACCCAACCAGAGGAAAACGCCCCGCAATGGCGCGAAAGGCCACCCCACCCCTTTTATCTTCCACGTGCGCACGCGCCACGCCTAGTCCCCGTCCGGGTTCACTCTCGGATCTTTGCACATCATCCTTGCACCGTGGCCAGGCAAATCTTCTCCGCCTCGTCCCAAGATTACGGAACGCCCCGAAGGACTCCCTCCTGGGCAACGCCCCACCGGTATTCCCTCAGAGCCAACCCTTAAAACCGCTGCTTATTCTCAGGGTTAGCACCGGCCCCGGAAAGGGGCAAAATTTAAAACGAGGTGTCAATACTTGAGAAAAGATTCGGAAGAGCTTCAATTTTAGGTGGGGAACTAACGGAACAGAGGGGGCAGGACTTTCCAACAGTCCTCTGGTTTTGCAAAATGGCCCTGCAATCGGGCTCCCCCAACAAAACCAAGGAGGATAGTCCTGCGGGACCCTCAACCCCTCAGCCCTTCGCTGCTCCATCGCTCCCGCGTTGTCGCCCCGCTGGCCTCGATCCCCGCACCTCCGTATCCTGAGTCCAATGTCGTAACCAAGAGGGCTAAGCCCAAGCCTGAGACCAGCCTGCGCAGCCTCCCATATAAAGTGGTGCAGCCCTGCGCTCAGGGCCAAGAAGGCGGTATGGGCCTCGTTTTTGCCTACAATCGAGCCTACATCTGTTGAACACCCTCGCCGGCTTACTCCAACTATGCCACGGCGGCCATGCGTGCCCTCCCACGCATACGCATAGGTCTTTAGACACCTGTATCCACCACGAGGCGGGTCCTACTTTAATCTAGACGGATAAAAATACGGCCGGCGACCGACGCCAGTCTTCACCATCATCAAAAGGAACAGAAAATCACGCGCGCCTTAAGCCTGCGCCCACTCACTCTCTACTTTAGTCAGTCCTCAGTCATAACGTAAATGACCGGCGTTACCGTGACTCGAGCAGTGTGCCCAAACTTCAGACTAAACTTATTTTCTGTCACTTGCAAAAAACCAGGGCGGATACCCTTGTAAGGGTGTCCGCGCCGACAACGCGACGTGGTAACCCACGTCGGGACTGAGGTAAAGAGATTGAAGAAAGGCACAGAGAAGTTATGTGCCAACGCCATTGAAAGCGCCAAAGTAGTGGCCGAAGTTGAGGCGCGTCCCAGCAAAGAGCCTGTAAAGCTCAAATTCCCTGATTCTTATAGTGGGAAGAAGGACGATAGTTCGACAATTGGGAAGCTAGTATTAATACCTATGTCTATTTGTAGCATAATTCCCCAGAGGAGCAAGTCCTCGTAGCCTTCCATGCATTGAAGGACGAAGCGGCCAACTTTGCCAGGTCCCTTGCGCGCGCAGCCGATTGTGAGAACAATATGGTTGCGTATTCTAGGCTCACCCCTCTTTCCACCTTCCTCAAACTCCTGCGTGAGAGGTTTGCTGACGTCACAAGGGGCGTCAAGGCCTCCGACAAGCTCCAAACCATCCACTCGTGACAGTGGAGGAGTGCGCGAACACTCAAAGTTGTCATGAACGACTAAGTAGTCGTCCGAGACCACAGGGTCACTGAGACACAGTTGGTCCAGTTGTTCTATCGTGCCATGCCGGAGCCCTTGCGAGGGCATTTCTTTGACAAGACCCAACAAGCCAACATCACGTATAATGCATTGAGTAGGGAAGTGGTCTTGTTCGAGGCGAAGTCCATGCCAGTCTCCACTTTCTGGCATAAGGACTTAGATAAGGGTAAAAAGTGGAAGGGTCGTACCATCTCTGGCCAAGTCAGGGCCAATGATCATTTGATCCTTACTTAAATGAGGGTGGTACGGACAAAATCCCCTATAGCCATATTGAGTGGGGGCTCGAGGAGGAGGACAGTAGTGTAGGCCAGGGGAGGACCTATGCTGCTGTCGCAGCTGGAGAGAGGCTGCAAAGTAGAGGAGAAGGCCAGGGCCAAAGGGGCCAGGCCACGGGAGGTCGAGGACCGGGCGCGCAGGGGGTTGGCGGCCAAAGGAACCGCCAAGAGGGAGGTAGGGGTCAAGGTCCCCCGTCAAATCGTCAAGGTCCCAGTCGGTCCCCACAGCGACGAGGTGGAGGATCACCTCAGAGGAGAGGAGGTTGGCACCTGGGTTGGCCACAAGGCCGGTCTTGGGAAGATCTGGGTCTGGACCAAAGAGTGTGGCAACAACGTATGGAGCAGGGGCAGTGCATTTACTGTGGTGACCCTGCCCATATTATTAAATATTGTCCAAAGTATAGACAGGCCCGATGGGCTGTGCAAGAGTCAAAAGGCAGCCGGCGGTAGGGGCTGCAACTACCCCTACTACTAGGCCATGTGCGGAAGCGATCGCACACGTACAGGAAACTCCCACGCCACATGCGCCTTTGGCAGAGGTTGCAGGCCCGTGCTCAGTTAGTTATCCAAAGACTGCTTGTGTTAGTGTCTCTCTAGGCGCTTCCCTCATAGGCGTGGTAGAAGAGTCACAGGAGAGGATGCTAGCCTGGGCCAAAATGAAGAAAGATAATAAAGGGCAGCTAGTGTTAGTTGATGTAGAGGTTTTTAGAAGTAGAGTAGGGGCCCTTATAGATTCGGGGGCTACTCGTAGTTATAATAGCCGTAGAGCACTGAAGAAGTTGAGGTTAGGGTTAAAAGTCCAAAAGTTGGAAGACCCCATAGTTAGTGTCCTCGCAGACAACCGCACTATGCATGTTGAGGACTACGTAGAGGGAGTTCAGGCGTACTTCCACCTAGAGAAAGATGGGAAGGTGGAGAAAGTTCTCCATTCCCTGACTCTCCTCGTACAAGAGATGACCTTCCTTTTGATATAGTCCTAGGTATGGATTGGGGAGAGGCAGCAGGGGCCACACTTCATTTGAGAGAGCATGAGTGTAGGCTCCCTAGTCCGTCAGGCGAGATAAAGACTGCTCGCCTGTTCCACGTGTCAGGAGTAGATAACTCGCTGGCACATTGTTGTCTCAGTACTCCCGCGTTTGCGCGATTAGTAAGAAAGGAGCAATTAGAGGATTAGGTCTTTGTAGCTTACATTAGACCTGTCACTGAGCCTAAGGAAGATAGGAAGATAGTCCCATGGATCCAACCATTGCCAAGTTGCTGGATGAGTTCAAGGATTTGACAGCGCCGCAAACAGGAGTAGTGCCGCGGCCGATCCAACACAGGATAGAGATAGAGCCTAGCAGCAAAACTCCTAAAGGAGCAGTGTACAAGATGTCCCCTAGGGAGTTAGAAGAGTTGTGCAAGCAATTGGATGAGCTCCTTGAGAAAGGTTGGATTAGGCCCAGTTTGTCTCCTTTTGGAGCACCAGTAGTATTTGTCCCCAAGAAGGAAGGAGAATTGCGTATGTGTATAGACGGGGGTTTGAATGCGATTACAGTTAGGAATGCTGAACCGCTGCCCAGGATAGACGATCTCTTAGATCGGGTGCAGGGTTGCAAATATTTTTCGAAGATCGACTTGAAGTCCGGGTATCATCAGATAGAGGTCCATCCTGATGACCAATACAAGACTGCGTTCCAGACTAGGTGTGGGCACTACGAGTTTATAGTGGTGCCCTTTGGACTGACCAACGTGCCTGCTACATTCCAGCGATGTATGAATGGTTTGTTTAGGCCTTGGTTAGATAGATTCGTCGTAGTGTATCTAGACGACATTTTAGTGTTCAGTAGGACCCTCCAAGAGCACCAGGGTCATTTCAGCCAGGTCTTGGAGAAGCTGAGGGAGGCTAACTTCAAGATCAACGCGAAGAAGTGCGAGTGGGCCAAGACACAAGTCTTGTACTTGGGCCACGTGTTAGATGGAGATGGCATTAAGCCTGAGGACAGTAAGATAACGGCGATCAGAGATTGCCCGACGCCCCGCACATTAACTGAGTTGCGGTCGTTTTTAGGCTTGGCTAACTACTACAGGAAGTTCGTGAGGAACTTCTCGACAATAGCCGCTCCCCTTTGCAAGTTGCTCAAGAAAGAGGCAAGCTGGCAATGGGATAAAGACTGTACGTCTGCGCTAAAGAAGTTAAAGCGCGCGTTGATAGAGTACCCTGTCCTCAAAGTAGCAGATCCGTCTTTGCCATTTGTTGTCACCACGGACGCGAGTTAGTATGGGATCGGCGTCGTGTTACAGCAGGACGACGGCAATGGCTACATACCCGTAGAGTTCATGTCAGCGAGGATGCCCTCAAAGAAGGTCGCTACCTCGACGTACGAGAGGGGACTGTAAGCTCTCAGGCAGGCCTTAGAGCACTGGAAGCATTACCTGCTTGGGAGGCACTTCAAGGTGTATTCAGACCATGAAACGCTTAGATGGTTGAAGACACAGGCCAAAATGACACCTAAGTTGACTAGGTGGGCCGCTGAGATAGACCAGTACGACTTTGAGCTCAAGCCTGTCAAAGGCAAATACAATGTAGTTGCGGATGCTCTAAGTAGGAGATCAGACTACTTTGAGCTATAGTTCACTATCTGGACATAGGGAGTGACCTGCAGGAGAAAGTTAGACAGGTGTATGCACATGGCCCTACTTATAGTGACCTCCTCAAGAGAGTTAAGGAGGCCACAGAGACCGAACCAAATTACCGCACTACAGAGGGGTTGTTATTTGAGAAGACTAATGTAGTAGACCGTTTGTGCATTCCTAACAGCGAGGGGATCCGTAGTTTGATCCTAGGGGAATGCCACGACACAGAGGGACATTTCGGTTGGCAAAAGACTTTAGCCAATCTGATACACGTGTATACTTGGCCAGGAATGAAAGTTGACTGCATAGAGTATGTCCGCAGTTGCAAAGTCTGCCAGAGAAACAAGACTACTACGCGTGCCCCTCTAGGTCTTCTCAGACCCCTGCCTATTCCTGATCAGGCCGGAGATGCAGTGTCCATTGACTTTATGGACGCTGGTGTCAAGAGTAGGTACGGCAAGAGCGAAGTCATGTTCATAGTTGCCAGATTTAGTAAGTATGCTGTCTTTGTTCCCTTGCCTGAAGAGGCACGTACTGAGTTAGTTATTCATAAGTTTTTTTATTTCTGGGATCGTGAGCATGGAGTCCCATATAGTCAGCGATAGAGATGGCCGCTTTACAAGTCAAAACTGGCAAGAACTGATTAAGGTCTATGGATCCAAGTTGTTAATGTCGTCTGGCCGTCATCCAGAAACTAACGGTCAGAGTGAGCAAATGAACAAGATCCTGCAGCAAGTTCTGCGCATGTACATTAGACCAGATCAAGTCAATTGGGGCGAGATGTTGCCCAAGGTAGCCAGTGCGTACAATAACAACGTGCACTTATCCACGTGTCGCACTCCCAACGAGTTGCACAAGTCTTTTAGGCCACGTAGACCGTTTGAGGGGCTTAACCGGGATCAGATTCACAGGCTACCGCCCGGTACTAGGGAGTTTGCAATACAGCACGAGAGAGAGCTAGCTACAGTTGTTGAGAACCTCAGGAAGGCCCAGCATAGAATGATAGAGCAAGCCAACAAGCACCGTCCCCCATCGCAGTTCCAAGTAGGCGACTTAGTCTAGGTCAAGTCTAAAGAGTTTGCTCCTGAGGAAAACATCTCGCAGAAGTTACTGCCCGCGTATAGAGGACTGTGGCCAGTTCTAGAAGTTAAGGGCGGAGAGGATGGGTTGTCCTACACAGTAGAGATCCCAGCACACCTCCACACCTACCCTGTCTTTCATGCCTCCAAGTTGCTGTCGTGTATCACAAGTCAACAATTTCCATCTAGGAGATCTATGATTCCTCCAAACATGGACGGAAGGTATGACATTGACGGCATTGTAGGTGAAGACGTGTTCAAAACAGGAGGTAGAGGTTGTCCGCAGAAGCAGTATAAAGTCTGGTTTGCTTATAAAGAACCAGAGGACGACCGCTGGTTTAGCAGAACATAACTTCTAGAAACAGCTCCCAACATAGTTCGAGCCTATGAGAGAGATAAGAAGGGAAAAGGTCCTGCCTTGGACTGAGTTATTCTCGGAGGACCTCGGATTTAGGCCGGCAGGAGTGAAACGGTATTCACCTGTTGCAGTAGCCGATGCAAATCCCAGGGCTCGATCCCTAGTCATCACCTTACCTGTGTACATTATCTGAGTCGAACCCGAGAGTTGAACCCGCGACCTGTGTATTTGTAACAGTTGGTAGGTCGTCGTAGGTCTGTAGGTTATAGGGGTTCGATCTGTAGAGCTGTCGGATAGGAGTGTTAGCAGGGTCTAGAAGTCGTAGCTGCAGCTCCTCCGAAAGGTCAAGGTCATAGCTTCTACAGTCCGGAAGGGTCAAGGTCGTAGCTGCTACAGTTTCAAAAGGCCAGGTCCACGGCCTTCCAGAAGGTCCTAGTAGTGGCCTTTCGAACTTGCTCACGTTTAGGCTGAGGCAAGTGGGCAAGTGGTGGAGTCTACCTGTGCTGAGTCAGCAGTCCCAGTCCCAGTCAGTCCTAGTCCAGTCAAGTAAGTACCGCATGGGACTGTGTGCACTACGGGCATGGGAAAGGGCCAGACCAACGAGCCACAAAAGTATAAATCAAAGGGCAGCGCCCAGCAATTCATTCATTCCTGCGTAAGCCATGCGGAAGCGCTGCCACAGCGACTTGTGAGAGGTGGTCTGCAGTGAGCCCTAAGACGAAGTGGGCGAGAAGGAGCTTAGCCATAGTGATAGGTTAGCAGCGGCCATAGCCGCCATAGCTGTAGGTAGAGTGTAGCGTGTGTGTGTGTGTGTGTGTGTGTGTATGTGTGTACAGAGTATCGTGTGTGGGGTATCCAGGGTGATCCTGTGTGTGCGAACAGAGAGTTGTACAGGCGCTGTGCCGCCATAGTCATTCGAAGTGAACTTGTATCTGAGTTGTGTTCTTGGTTACTATATCTCTGAGTTTGAGTGGGCACTTGTCGCCAGTTTGCTGCGCACCTGTTTGCATGCATGTGAAGTGTGAATGAGAGCGAGTCTGAGTGCACCTTAATGCGTGGGGTAGAAAATATGAAGACGAGGATGATCTCTAAGAAATAGCCCTACAAGCACGTAACCAAAAACAACAAGTCGCCATCAACAGACATGCCCTCCAACTAGGCCATAGAGTCTTTCAGGCACAATAAATAGCCACTGTCAGGCAGAGCAGGGTTTGTGGATTTTTGAACAGTAAAGTTGTGTAACCATGCGTACCGTGCTACTCCAGCTACTGTGGGTTTCTCCTTTGTCCAGGATTGGATCTGGGGGGACTTGAACCCTGAGCCAGTGGGACTCAGACAGAATGGTTTTGCCACTGAACTCTTTCCATCACAATGCTTGCTGGATATGAACCCTTGACATCTGCCTAGTTTTTGTGTTATCTCAGTTGCTGTCTGTTGCAGTTATGCAGTTTTGAATTCCGGACCTGAGAGCTCCATCCGCAGCATACATGCAACCGCACGGCATGCGGAAGATTGTGCACATGTGGCGTGGGAGTGGACCCCCACGGTGCAGCGCATGGGGGAAATATTCACCCAGAAAAAAAGAACTGGTGGCAGGTCTGGGTCAATGGTCAGCTGCGACCCTTTGAAAATTTGTTGTGGGTCCAATCCCCATAAGATCCAACTCAAAATACCACATGTAAATTGGGAGCATTCAGATAAAGAACTCACAAGCTTGGGCTATGGCCATGAACAGTGCCAATTCGAAAATCCACTCAAAGTACAAATAATACACAATTAAAAAAGTTTGGGACTGGGCGGTCTCAACCGCTGCAACACACTCTGGTAAGTACCCGACTTTCTCCCCCTCCGATCTGGTTCTTCTCTCCCTCTCTTACTCTCTATCTCTCCACTCACATCTCTGCACTGTTTATCATGCAATGCTCCCTGCTACTGTTCCTCCCTCTACAATGTCCTGGATCTACCCTGAATGCCTCTGCGGTGTGCCTCACAACAACGGGCGGCTATGGCCGCCAATCACTTCATCTCCCCCTCTCCTGGCTATGCTGGTCTGTCGCAGCCAGGGCGCTGGTCTTCTTCCTCCCTTCAGCGCACTTCGTCGTCCAGGTCGCTGGTCCGCACAAGCTCCAACAGCTTCCACAAATTTGCGAAATGACAACTGACTGTCCTCCGGCACTGTAGCCCAAAATATATAGTTGAAGTGGGCTGGGTGTGCCTGCTTCAATCGGTACTGGCCTCCTTCCGCCTCAGCCTTGCCAAGTTGCTATTTTGGGAAAGTTCCCAACTTCCGTTGGTAGTCTGCTGCAAATTTTGGACTTCGGGGACTGGCATGCTCCTACAGGTACTGTACTCACTGACCTGCGACGCCTACACCTACAGACCCTAAGATTCAGCTACCGGTAGGGTTTGGGGACTGCAATAATTGGGGACCCTGGAGCAGGGTCTGAGAAAATTTGCAGTGTGAATCCATTCACTCCCTCCGGCCTAATTTCAAGGTCCTCCGAGAAAAATCGGAACTTCAACGATCATCCTTGGTAACGTATTTCCTTCACTAATCTCAACACTTATCTATTTCTCATCCCCAATTGGACGAAAAGAAAAATATGTACGACGCTACTTGAAAAGGATCTGTTCCATAGGTGGTGCACTCTTCTGTATCTACAGAAACAGTGAAAAAAAGAAGAAAGGGAAACTGCTGCTGGTACGGCGCACGAGAAGGTGCTGCGCCGCATACCATGCGGTGCACCGTACGGTACAGCGCACTGTGCGGCTGCAAGTATGATCGGCAGGGTACATAAGAGTGCAGGGACGATTCCACTTGTACTGCAGGATGGAGTTTGCAGGTGTGATTGTGGGACGGGGGGAAAAAATTGGAGCTACACAACGAATGAATAAACAGAAGAAGACCCAGAGCAAGACAGGGAATTGATTATGAACTAATATGAAGTTTCAGTAGACAAGGTTAGCGCAGGGGAAGATAGCAACAATAGAAGGGGACTCACCCTGTCATTCCACTGGTTCTCTCAGTAGGACGAGATTGGAGCAATAGGGATACAGTAAGCTTTAGGGTTTAAGAAGTTTGGAACAGAGGACGAGAATTTAGAAAAAGAAAAAGGAGGGGGAGGGAGAGTGCAAGGTTTAAGGTTTGGAAGGGGAGGGAAGCCTAGGGTTCAGCAGGGGACGAGGGGGAACGCAGAGGGTTAAGGGTAATCAGGAGACAGGTCTTCTTCTTGGGGAATGGTGGTATAGCTTTCCTCAAATTCTTCCGTTATTTCTAGTTGTGTTTTAATTGTCCAGTTTTATTTTTGTGGTGAAGTTGCAGATAAGTGGACGCTGGACCCAGTTTCCAGCACAGTCCAAAACTGGGTAATGGCCCCGGCACTGTCCGGGTTGAGATGTTGAGAAATTCCCAGCCTCATTGTTCGATTATATAATAAAACTGCCTAGGTTGTTTTTCCGGGCGTCCGGGCACCCAACTTGTGCCCGGATACACACCCAGGTGCCCGGCCGTGCATGACCCCCGGGCAGGGTTCCGGGCAGCCCCAGCGCAAAAAAAACAAAAACGAAAGTCAAAAAATTCCCAAAAAAAAACAATGTTGTGTAGAATTGCAATACAAACAACTTTTGGCTGAGGGTCACATCATAATTCCTCACCGAATCGGAGATAAAAAAGAAAATAACAAAATCACACTAAGGGACCCCCCTTTAAATCCCCTTAGCCCCTTTACAAACAATTTATACCCCCCTCCCCCCCCCTTCACAGCCAACTCTCAAAAGAATGAAAAGATCCCGGATTTGGGGTCCTCTGGGAGAGTGCAGAAAGGCTTTTTTTTTTTTTTTTTTTTTTTTTTTTTTTTTTTTTTTTTTTTTTTTTTTTTTTTTTTTTTTTTTTTTTGCATGCCCAGGTACCCTGGACGTCACGCCCGGGTGCCCGGCCGGGCATGAAAATCTTCCTAGAAAACTGCAGCTTTGAAGGGAAAAAAAGAAGGAAAAATGAAGAAGACACAGTAGCCTGGCAATTGACCAGCAGAGTTCCAAGACAGAGAAAACAGAAGAAGACACTAAAGGGAAATCTCCTCATAAATGCTGAGCAGCTCAGCTGATTACTTTCTAACAGAACATTTCTGAGGAATAAGATCAGTTTATTTTTATTTTTGAAGGTTCACGGCCTTGAGATATCACCATCGAACTGACTGGCCCGAGGTCAAGCCAAAGTTATTTTTTACTGATCTGATTCCATCTGGATTCAAACTCAGGTCTGTCAGCCAGAGTTATTTTTTACTGATCTGATTCCATCTGGATTCAAACTCAGGTTTGTCTATCAACACAGTTGATGGGCGTACCATTCAGCCACACAAGCTGGGTGGATAACATGAATTGCAATCTGAGTCATTCAGTCGCTTTTCCTTCTTGTTTCTGTCTTTCTTCCTTTGTAAGAGGGGCTTATACCCTATTGTTATTGCATACATCGGGATTTGAACTCTTGATCTGTTTCTCACAAATTATATATGTGTACTATTAACCCAACGGGTAAGTTCAGTCAGTCACTTTCTCATTCACTCACCTCCATGTAACCCACCCAATTGCTCATCAGGCAGAGATCAAACACAAGTGTCATTCCTGATGCGAAATCATTGAAATTCATCACCGTATAGCTGTCACAGATAACAAAACACAAATGCACCTGTAAGTCCTAACAGCAGCAAGAGGGGGATACGGAAGTTCTTTTTTTTTTTTTAACTCAAACACACTTGCGAGGATTTGGCTCCTCGGCAGGCCTAAGGGGCCCCTTATGCAAGTGTGCCCGCCCTAAGTGAAGGCGGGCCTAACAAATCACGAGAGGCCGAATGCTGTCAATTTCGTATTTGGGGTTCAGGCAGTTGTGTCACGTCAGTTGTTGAGGGAACCCAGGTCCCGAGCAGCAAATACTTTCCATGGCCTTCTGGACCTTTTCTAAAAGGCAGGCCCTGGGCCACATATACACAGACAGTTGGGAGGCGTAACTGAATGAGGCCCAGCTACCTGGGGCCTACCGGAAGCTTCTGGGGGCAGTCCCAGCCCAGCCAGGCTGCAGGCCAGGCCAGACTCTTTCCATATAGGAAAGCGCTGCCTGGCACGTCATTCGGGCACATGCTTGTTTGCGGCAGCGCTGCTGGAGTAAGTGCTCGGGGGCTGCTGCTAGCGCAGAGCATGGTGCAGCGCACGTGCGGTTGCGAAGAAGGAAGGGTGCTGCTGAGGGCAGTGCCGTAGCCCAGCCTCCATAGCTGGCTGAGGCTTGGTGTTACAGCAATGCGTAGTGGTGGTCTTCGGGTGTAAAGAAGGAAGACGAGGAAAGGGAGAGAAGAAGAGATGAGGATGACGATGTGAGGGCTCATACCTGGTATTGGCGATGGTCTGCATTGGGCGACATCTTCATGTACTTCGGTGGCTGCTGACATCAATGAAACGGTTTTCACCTTTTAGCAGTAGCAGATGCAGTACCCAGGGTTCGATCCCTAGACCTCACCCTACCCATGTACAGTATCGGTGTAGACCCCGAGAGTTGGACCGGTGACCTGTGTATTCGTAGACAGTTGGTAGGTCTGTCATAGGTCCATAAGCAGCAGAGGTTCGATCTGTAGGTCTATAGAGTAAAAGTCTTAGCAGGTTCCAGAAGTCTAGCTGTAGTCCTTCTAGARGGTCGGCAAGTGGGCAAGYGGTCAAGTGGCRAGGCAAGTGGTGGACTAAACTGCARTGCAATCGCAGTACRACGACGGTAGGATAGCAGTGAGTCCACAKACAGTCAGMSGTAGGGTCCAGTCAGTCCCAGTCCGGTCCAGCAAGTACCACGGGGTACTRTGAGCACCATGGGCCGATGGCAAAGGGCAGACCAACGAGTTTCCAAAGTATAAATCAAGAGGCAGCGCCCAGCCTTTCATTCATTCCTGCGTGAGCCATGCGGAAGCGCTGCCACAGCGACTTGTGCAAGGAGGTCTGCAGTGAGCCCGGAGGACGCAGTGGGCGAGAGAGGGGTGCAAGGAACATGAATGTGGACGAAGCACAGAAATCCAGATTGCAAAATCACACTGAAGTTCAAGTAGTCAAAGCAAGAGCAGATAGCACAAATGAACTGAGTAACCATCCATTTGAGAATGACACAGAAGAATCGTGAGTCAATGTCCAAGCCCAATCGGGCAACACCAACAGCATAACCCAATGTAGCTCTCTCTCTTGAATGGCGCCTGGCGCCCTACCTACTCTACAGCCTATCACTACAACTACAGCATGAAAGCAGCCAGACAACTTGATTGATCTGTCTCAGCGAAAGGTGCAGAGCTCCGATACTCGGTGCACTCCAACCAACTGGCGTGCTGAAACTGTATGGACCCCACTTCGTGAAATGTTTGCACAGAGGGCTCTTGTTGATTTGCTGCCCCGCCTTCACTTAGGGCGGGCACGAGGCTTGCTGGGGCCTTAGCCCAGAACATGTACATCATGGCAAGGCCCCTTCTTGAGGGCTCAATCCTCACATTCCATCCCCCTTAGCTTCAGAAGTCCGCTGAGATGCTTACTTCGCAGGTGCCTTCCCTTTTAACATCCTTATTCTGCCACCACTTGAGGAGCTGTGTCAATCAGTTCCTCTCTGGTAAACCACCGATCTTCTTTTGGATCCGTATGATGCCTGAATCTGACGCGATATTCTCTCTTGGGTTGGGAGGTCTTCCTCTACCCAGTGGCTTTGGAACAGGCAGGTCTCTGTGATCCACTATGTCGTCAATGTCCACTTGGCCATCCATGGTTGGGGGCAGCATCGATCTCCTTGAAGGGAATTGATCTGTCTCAGCGAAAGGTGCAAGCTTTGAGGCATGAAAGACAGGGTGAGTGCGCAGATGACCAGGGATACGGATAACATAGGTAGGACCATCCATCTCATCCCCAACTATATCCAGGACTTCCCATGGACCAAAATACTGAGGCATTAGTTTGCGAGAGATTCCGAATTCCTGTCCTAGCTCACTAGCCTTGACCCAGACACGTTCCCCTACCTGAAAAAGGATTGTCGACGATATTTGTTCTCAGAAGCAATCATTGTTTGTTGAGCTTTCTTGATGTGCTCGACAGCTGGCTGCGGCAACTTCTCATACTGCACACCATATTCAAGTGTGCCTGGAGTTGCAGAGGGTCGGTTTTCAAGTAGGAGGAAGTCCAGAGCTGATCTAGGCTTCCATCCCAAGTGCAGTTGGTTAGGACAAACGCCGGTACTGCTGTGTACAGCGTTGTTGTACAGGCTGGCGATGAGAGGCAACTTCTCATCCCAGTTATCCTGGCTGGGCTTGATGTAATGCCTCAGCAGATGTTGTACAACTCTGTTCATCTGCTCGGCCTGTCCGTTGGCTTCGGGATGATTCCCTGAAGTCATTTGAAGTTGACTGCCCATCTGCTCAGCAGTCTTCTTCCGCAGCTCACTTGTGAAGCGGACATCTCTGTCACTGACGATTGACTTTGGTAAACCAAAATCACGCACCCAGTTGTCCATGAACAACTTGATGACGTGGTCAGTCCGTGCGGTCTCTGGCATGGCAATTAGTCTAGCGTATTTGGTGAATCGATCAATGATGACAAAAATGTGTCTCTTGCCACTCTTACTAGTCACCAGGGTGTCCATGAAGTCCATGGAAACACGCTGTCCTGGACCAGCGGGGATAGGCAAGGGCCTTAGCAACCCAAGCGGTGCTTGAGTTCGCGGCTTGTCCCGCTGACAGATCTGACAGGTCTCCACATATTTCTTTGCATCTCCTAGCATTCCAGGCCACCAAAATCGTTGTACTAGATTAGCACTCGTCTTTTTGTAAGCAAAGTGTCCGGTTGCGTCATGACATTCTCCTAGAAACAAACTACGCAAACCTTCACTAGATGGATTCACTAATCTTTTACAACCGGCCTTATCAAGAAAGAGAAACCCGTCCACCATCACAAACTCATCTTCTGTGGCCTTGTCTTTCGCCTGAAGTTTGCGTATGATGTCCATCGTGACAGGGTCTTCCTGATAGGCTCCCACCAGCGATTGAGTTAGTTCCTCAGATACACCAAACTCACAAACTAGCGCCCCTAGGTAGTCTGCTCTACGTGACAACGCATCTATAACCTTGTTGTACTCTCCCTTCAGATAGTCTAGCTTGAAGTCATACTGATCTATGACCTCAATCCAACGCTTGAGTGCATCAGAAAGAGCCGGTTGAGTCTTGATCCATTTGAGGGTCTGATGGTCGGTTCTCAAGTAGAAAAACCGTCCCAATAGGAAGTGCCTCCAATGAACAAGTGCTTTGTAAAGAGCATAGCGTTCTCTTTCATAGGTGGACTTTGTCGGTTTCTTTGATGGCACCTTTTTCCTCATATACTCAATCGGTCTCAACTTTTTCCCATCCTGTTAAGCCAGCACTGCGCCAATGCCGTATTGGTTTGCGTCGGTGATCACTATGAATGGCTTCTGAGGATCGGGCACCATAAGAACCTCATGATTCATGAGTGCATGCTTCAATCGTTTGAAAGCAGCCTCGCACTCATCACTCCAGTCCCACGGCGTGTCAAGTCGAGTTAGATCAGTCAAAGGAGAGGCGACTGTAGAATAGTTCTTTACGAAGTTCCTATAGTAGCCGCACATTCCTAAGAAAGATCTGACCTCAGTAACAGTCTGAGGTCGTGGCCAGTCCCTGATACTAGCCACCTTCGCATCTTCCGGCCTAATACCTTCCGTGGATACGTCATGACCCAAGTATAAGATCTTAGTGAGTCCAAACTCACATTTCTCTAGGTTGACCTTATACTTGTGCTGTCGCAGGAGTGAAAGTACAGTCTCAACGTGTTGTGCATGCTCCTCGACAAACTTACGAAAGATAAGAATATCGTCGAGATAGACAACGACAAACTTATCTAAGTGGTCATGGAAGATTCTATTCATAGCATGCTGGAATGTACCCGGCGCATTGCAAAGGCCAAAGGGCATCACTACAAACTCGTAGAGACCATATCTGGTCTGAAAAGCAGTCTTGTGTTGATCCTCAGGTCTTATTGCGATCTGATGGTAGTCGGATTTTAAGTCTATCTTGCTATAGTACTTACATCCCTGCACCCTATCCAATAGGTCGTCTACGTGGGGTAGAGGCTCTGCATTTTTCACTGTGATGGCATTGAGGCCTCTATAATCAATGCACATCCTCAAGGTACCCCCCTTCTTTGGTACAAATAGCACTGAAGATCCATAGGGGGAAGTACTCGGCCGGATCCATCCCTTCTCTGTCAGCTCTTTCAGTTGTCGAAGTTCATCCAACTCAGCCGGAGCCATCCTATAGATCCTTCCCTTTGAGGTTTTACTCCCTGGAATGATTTCTATGGCATGGACAACTTCCCTATCAACGACTCCTGTGGGCTCCGTGAACAGATCAGGGAGCTTAGCAACAACGTGTTCTATCTCTGGGGGTGTTTTAACGGCCGCCTCTTTCTCAGAGACATACACTAGGTACATACCCTCCTCTTGGTTCTGTTTATAGTAATTATAGAACGCTGATGCACACAAGCAGCCATACGTATCAATTATACTACTGGCTTTAAACTTAGTCAGCCTCACTGTTCTTCCATCAGGCAACTTATGTTTTAGCACCTTCTTGTCCCAGTCAAACTGGGGCTTGGCAACCTCAAGGTAGTACATTCCTAACAGTATATCAAACGGTAAGTCGTCGCTAACCAGGAACGAAATCTTGTGATTAAGTTCCCCTCCTCCATAGGAGAAGGTACAGACTACATCCTTGATATAGTCTGTGACAATTATGCGCTCCTTATTGGCCAAAGTAGATGCTATAGGTCTACTAAGGTGCTGTACCCGGTTCTGTAGGTGCAGCCTTTCCAAGCAGTCGCGACTTATGTAATTCCGCATGGAGCCGATGTCTATAAAGGCACCACATTTGTGGCCCCCTACATCAACTTCCACAACGAAATGTTCCCCTCTAGGACCTTTCCTTAGTGCCACCCAAGATTCGCGAGGGTCCTTGCTTGACCACTCACTTTTCAAATCTTCTAAGGCTTTAGACACATCCAACGTACAAAGCATAGTTTGGTCTGGATGAGTCTGCAGGGTGACTAAAGAGTCATTAGCTATGGCCATCTCATGAAGTGGGGAGGGTATCTGGCCCACTTCACCATGAGTAGAAGCAGCTAAAACTTCCACCGGCCTCACGTATTTCCCGAGCTAGAATCCTGGGAAGAAGGTGCCCCCATCTTAGGAGGTATCTTCTGCGTGACCTTTGCGTTCTTGCACCTGCCACACTTCTTGATCAAGACCTGCCTTGACCCAATCTGCTACTTTGGCTTGATTGGAGGCGGCCTGCCCTTGACTCTTTTGATGGCCCTTCCCTCGGCCACCAGCCTTAGCCTTAACTACTGCGGCGAGGGTGCTACCCTCAACGATTTCCTCGCCGTCGTACTCTGAATAGTCCAACAGGTATGTGAGCTCTTCGATCTCAGTTTGAGTCCCATCGGACTCAACCATCACCAGCTTGCTCCCCTTCTTCTTCCATTCCTGTGGACTCTTCTTCTTCCTCGTGTCTACTGGAGTAGGTTGAGCACTTCCTAGAGTAGCCTCTAAGTCTAAGGCTTTTCTAGATAGTGTCTCAAACGAATGATACTCGAGGCGAGCCTCGCTGGGTAGTAAGTTCCTGAGATTCTCTGGGAGACATCTCACAAACATGGTCAATAAGACCTGGTCATCGTAGTGTATGCCGGGAACAACGATGATGCTCTCTACGGTAGTCATTAGCTCTCTGACTGACTTGAACTTTCGTTGGTCTAGTCTATGCATCGCATCGGTGGCAATTTGTGCCTGCTGCGGATTGTGCCAGCGAGCTTCTACCATTTCTAAGGACTGTTATAATGTAAGGGTCTTAGCCCAGTCTTTCATTCGTCGTCCGTACCCGGCCTTTGCTACTAATCCATCTAGCCATTTGGCTGCCGTACCCTCAAGGTAAGATGCAACAGTAATCACCTCCTCCTCCTGCAAAGTCCTCTTTGCCCTTACCCACACTGGAACCGTCCTCAACCATGTGTTAAGTTCCTCATCCTTCTTCTCTCCGGAGAAGGCAAGGGGCGGTTTCATAGGGGTCTTTGGGTACCATTGACCTTGCTATTGTCCCTGTTGAGGAACAGGTTGTTGTGGTGATGGTGTAGCAACCACCGCTGAGTCTGTGCAGCTGCTGCAGACGTACCACTTGCCTGTGTGCCAGCTTGTACCGGAAAGGGGCCTGACATCGCCGTTAACGGCAACGGCGACTGTGCTGCTGGCCGGAATCCTGGCCTTTGCAAAAGGTCCAAGATCTGGTCCAAAGAGTTCTGCATGAAATCGAGTCTGCTGTCCACATGCGCATGCACCGACAGCATACTGTTCTTCAATATTTTCATTTGGTCAGACATGGCTGACTCATCCAAACCCTCTAATGCAGCTTTGTCTGCCTCTAACGTATCAAGCCTGGCTGTTCTTTTTTTAATCTCTCTTTCTCTGTCGGTAGCTTGTTTCAGTTCCCTCTCTAACCGCTCGCGGATCCTTTCGACCTGTTGAAGCTCTAGGAGCTCCCTGCCACGTGGGGTTAATGGGCTTAACTGCGAGCCCGCCATTTGACTTGTGGACTGTCCAGCACCTATTGATCCGGAAGTACCCGCGGGCCCTGAGGGCATTCCCAACAGGGTCCCTGACGAGGATGCAGCAGAGGCTGTGCCGTTAGCCATTGCTGCTGCTCTGGCTGCTGCTGCCTCTTCTCTAGCTGCTAGGTTTGCTGCTGCCCTCGCTGCTGCAAGAGCACGGGCTCTACGTTCGGCACGAAGCCGTGCTTCGTCTCCCGGTTGTAGGG